GAATGACTATTCAGAGGCTACGAGAATAAATGTCTGAAGTTGGTCACTCAGTCTTAAGACCTGTTTTTCAATCGTAAATGGCTGAACAGCTAGAAGCACTCACGGTCTTGCCACGGAGTGGGGCTCAGCTCCCAGCACCCACAGGCCACTCAGAACTGCCGGTAACTCCAGTTCCAGAGGATCTGACACCTTCTTCCAGCCTCTACAGATGCCAGCTATGCATGTGGTGCACCTATACACACACAGGCAAACACTCATACACATTTATTTATTTAAATACAATTTTAAATAAATCTTTAAAAATCTACATGTACCTTTGGGGGTAGATGTAGCATTAAAATGACAGGAAACATTCTATGAAAATGTCAAGGGAGGAACCAGAGATCTGAACACATGATTAAACACTTAAATTGATTAAAGGTGTACTGGTTCAACAAATACACTTTCAAACCAGGAACTGTTCTAGGCGCTTGAAATACAACAAAACAAAGCTATTTACTTTGTGCAGCTCATATTCCTGTTGGGTAGGAAAGTGTGTTGAACAAATATAATGAATAAACATATCACATAGTATACCTTACAGCTGTAAATTTTATGGGGGGGAAAGGTAAAGTAGCTTAAGGTGGAGTTGGGAGATACACTGGAAACTTTAAGAGAGTTAAATAAACAGGCCGTCTTGAAAACCTGACATTTACTGACTGACTGTATTATGTGAAACATTGTGTTGTATTATTTTCCCCCTTGAAACAAGATCTTACTGTGTAGCCCTGGCTTGCCTGAACTCACTTTATAGACCAAACTGGCCTTGAACTCACAGGGAACCTGCTTCTGTCTCCTGAGTGCTGGGATTTAATGGTGTGTGCCACTATGCTTCACATGATTCTTTTTAAATTAAATTTGGGATTTGGGAAATGACTCAGTGGTAGTGTTTTTGCATAAGTATAAGAAGTTTAGTATATACCCCCAGCAATCATGCAAAAACTTGGAGGAAGGCAGTGTGTACCTGAAATCCCAGCACTGGTGAAACAGACAGAAAAGAGTATGTCTAGGGCTCACTAGCTAGCCAGTCTTGCTAATATGGTAAACTTCCAAGTTCAGTAAGAGATCAAAAATAAGGTGGAAAGTGACTGAGTAAGACACAGTGTAGACCTCTGTTCTCCACTTACACACACACATACACACACCCCACTCTAAATTTTTCCTTGGTACCATAAATAATTTTGTGAAGACTGAAAAGGATCACAATCTTAAAACTTTTGAAATTATAACTGGCACTAAATTCATGTTCTTCTTTTTAAAAAAATTTTTATTATATATTTGGTTTTGTTTGTTCTAAAGATTTATAACTTACTTTTATTATTTTAAGTTGTGTGTGTGTGTGAGTGTGTGTGTGTGTGTGTGCGTGTGTGAGTGTAGGTGCCCTTCAAGGCCAGAAGCATCAGATCCACTAGAATTGGAAATACAGGCAGCTGCAAGCCATCTTGCATGGATGCTAAGAACAGAATTCAAGTCCTCTGGAAGAGCAGTAAATGCTGAGCCACCTCTCCAGCTTTCACCATTTCCACTAAGTAATATACATTGCAGCTTAGTCCTTTAACAGAATGAATCATATTATGTCAGTGGCAATGGATAAAGATTGTGTCTGCATTCCTTTCCCTCTTTCCTTTGTCATTTTCCCACTTTGTTCATTATAAGATTCACATAGTAGGCTGTTCCTGTGATAGCACATCCATTCTTTCTCAGTTTCCTAAGACTTTAAAATTCTAACTGCTAGGAAGGCTGTGGTTCCTCTTAAGCAAAGCCTTTTGAACTTTACTTCATCCTCATTCATTAAAGTGTGCATTCATCAGAAAACCATGCAAAACCACAAGAAAGCTTTTGAGGACAAATTATGAGCACACTATAGACTAAGCAGGGGAAGGGGTTTGGGATCTTTAGCTAAACTCAGATTATCAACAGTACTTCATATTTCAGTGCTCATTATCATGCTATTTGCTTATGAAGCAGTAAAACACACATCCTTCTGGGAGTTAGTATGGATTTCCAGTAATCATTTGTCTAAGTACATTTTTAAAAAAACTAAGCCAATGTATAAATACATATTTAAGGATATCTGATATTGCATAGAGGATCAAACTACTTAACCAACCTCCCATTGCATTAAATAATTTATTTCTTTATTTAAAAGATATTTGAGTGTTAAAACACACACACAACCAGACAGGCAAAACATTAAATCTGATTTGCAGGTGGCTTTTGTAATTGTACCTGCTTAGGTTTCATTGCTATTAGTAAAATATTGTAGACTGCTAGGTAACACAAAGAGAAATGTTTTTAAAAGACTGCCATTCATCAACATTACCAGCAGAAATTTTGCAATATTGAACTGAGATTGTTTTTAGCCTTGATTATAATAAAAGGCTTTTCAGACTTCCAATCACCCCTGTAAATGTAACAGTTAACTGTGCATGTCCTTAGAGCTGAACGATGGGCTAACTGCCTTCACTTTGTTTTATAGATATAGAAACCTGTCTGATGCTGTGATTTTTTTTTTCTAATCCCATTATCTCCACATAAAACAACCTGATCCCAAAATACTAACAAGGAAATGCTGGTTAAAGTCAATTGACACTTAGCAAGCTTTTGAAATGTTTTCAACACCTGGGAATGGAAACCAATAAAGCACTGGTCTCTGATCTTCAACCTATTATAACCCTTCAAAACTGAAAATGAGCCAGAGTGGTGGTGTACACTTGCAATCCCACCACTGGGGAGACTTGAGGCAGAAAGATCATGAGTCTGAGGCCACCCAGGGCTAACCAGAGAGTGCAGAAGGAGGTTGGCCTGGACTAAATACACAGGAGTGTCCAAGAAAGGAAAAACAAAACAAAACAAACAAACAAACACCAGCCAGGGGTCGTAGTGCCTTAACCTGGTTTAACTATCAAGCTCTAAGCCAGTTAGGGCTACATAACCAAAACAATGAAATCAACAATTTTTCTCTTGCCCCAGTTCTGGGGGTAAAAAGACATGCCAAGGTGGTTAATATTTGTGGTGGTGTAATTTGCTTGCACACACCCCAACCAAAGATTTCTCAGTCAGAAGTGAGAAAAGGAACAGTTTACTCAGAGCATCTGATTGCTTGTCTCAAGTTGACATTCTTTCAGGACCAGCAAGATAAACAGTGTGTCTGAGAAATGTTAGTGCTTCTGTGTTTTCTACCGAAGCAGATACTCCAATTCCACATACAAACTACAATAAATAATCTACATTCCTCAGTTACAGTTTTTCCTTAACTATCATCTGGGTAACTTGTTTCCCCCAAGGCTAAGAGTTAAGAGTCAACAGCCTACACCTCCAGTTTTGCCATCTTCAGATCATTTAAGTATGAATAGTCTCAATCCTAATATAAGGCTTTAAACATTAAAATTTCTGGCATTTCTAAAAATTGCCATTTATTAAGGAAACACACCAAGAGGAACAGGTTTTTGTCACAGATGCAGGCCTCCAAAATAATAACAATAAAGTCTACTTTGTCTATCTAGAAAGTATAATTCATGTTAAGTGTTACAGAACACACATGGAAGTGTGGCTAAATTTGGAGCTTCTGAAAATATTTTTATGCTGCTTTAAAATGATTTTCCAGGGGTTGGGGATTTAGCTCAGTGGTAGAGCGCTGCTTGCTTAAGGAATGCAAGGCCCTGAGTTCAGTCCTCAGCTCTGCAAAAAAAAAAAAAAAAAAAAAAAAGAAAAAAGAAAGGTAAAATGATTTTCCAGCAAGTCAATAAACTCCTCTGATTTCAGGAACTCAGACCTTGGAAATCTAGAAACTTAGTTTCAGGGATTAAAAAAAAAAAAATCTATAGAAATGACCAAAGAGCAGGCTTTAACCATGGCTACAAGTAAATTTAGAGAACTTTAAATCTCGGGGGGCGGGGTGGGGGGGCGGTAAGTGGGCTTAAGTGGAACTAAAACAAACGTTGTTTTGTATTCTATTAATAGCAGATGATTAAATGCATATCTCATTTCAAATGGAATTCATTTATAAGTACTTAGACTTACTAAACTGGCCATTAATCCCATGTCTGTTTCTGGAAAAATTCTCTCACCTAACAGGCAAGTTAAGCGACCAATCGCCAAGCGTTCTGTCAGCTTAGGTCGCTTCTTATTAAAATCTAGTGCTCTCGGACTCAAATAACTTCCCCAAGTCACTGATGTAGAAAAAGGCAAACGCGAGCTAACACGCGCACAATACATAGCACAGGTGTATAAAAGTGTCAAAACGGTAACAACAACAACAACAACAACAAAATAACCAAAGGAGAAGCCAAGCTGAAGGGAAAAGCAGCTGTGTGGAAGAGTCCAGGAGGGGGGAGGCGCAGCAGGGCGGGCAGATCCGCTGGCAGCCCGGAGAGTTCACTGGCCGCGGGAGCCAGGTGAGCCTGGCGACGGATTCCTACCCACCGAGGAGTTTCTCCCACATTCTTGGGCGCCTTCTTTTCTCTGAGGAAACTCGAGCTTGTCTCGCTCTTGTCTCGCTCCTCTCTCTCTCTCTCTCTCTCTCTCTCTCTCTCTCTCTCTCTCTCTCGGATCTGGGGAGGGTTTAGTCCCAGCGGTCAGACCAGCTCAGTCACCGAGCACTAAGAGAAGCTGGGGTGGGGGGTGGGGGACAAGGACCTCGGGACCCCGCAGATTTTCGTACGCGTCTCCAGTCCCCTTCCCCCCAGCGCGGGAAATGTGGGGTCCCGGGTGTCTCCGGGGGTCCGGGGAGGAGGGGAGACCGTTCCCGTGTCAGGTTCCCCACTTGATCTCCAAAGGGAGAAAGGATCTCGACCCGGCGTCCCGGCGACAATGGTCAGCGGCTTGGCACGGCTCGCGTCCCTGCCCTCGAACTCCCAAGTCCTGGGTCCCTGGGCCTCCGCCCTCAGCCTCGACCCTCGAGCCTCCAGGGTCCCGGACCTCCCTCCTCCGGCCTCGAGCCCTCCGAGCCCCACACTTACCCGGTACGTGTTCTCCGTGAGCCGGTTCACCTCCTCCGGCCCCCGAGACATGGCTGCAGCCTCCGGGAGGGCGAGCGCGGGAGGACGCGGCGGGGCCTCGTGGCCGCCGGACTCCGGGAGCGCCTAGGGCTTGCGACTCGGCGGCCCTCGAGGGTCGGCCGGTGAGAGCCAGGGCGGGTCTCCGCGGCCGGAACGTCAAAAACTTTGCGGCGCTCCGGTCCGCGAGGAGCCGCGAGGGAAACCAAGCCTGACGCGCCCGGGACTAGCAGAGGGACCGGCAGCCCCACCTGAGGCGGGCGGGGTAGGCGGGGCCGCGCGGCCGGAGGGCGGGGCCGCCCCACCTGAGGTGGGCGGGGCCTGGGCCGGGTAAGCCAAGGGGGCGGGGCGGCCTCGCGCAGAGGCAGCCTGGTGGGAGGGGCCGCGTCAGTCCGGGCCACCGCGGGGCTGGGAAGAGACTTGTTGCGCTAGGTGGGCGTGGCCTAGAGGCCGGCACCGCCGAGCAGAAGCCCGGCCGGCGTGCAGGAATGACTGGCCCCAAGCAGAGGAGGTGGAGGGGGCGGTGTGGGGGTTGAGAGGCCAACCGGAGGCTGAAGCCAAGGCGTCCCTACCCCGCCTGAAATGGGCGTGTCCTAGATGGCGGATGGGCGTAGCCGAAACGAGATGGGACGGGGTGGACGAGGCAGCCCTGGCGGAGGCCGCCGGAGCGGCCCCGCAGAGTTGAGACGGTGGGCGCGGTCTAGCAGGCCGAGGGGCGGTGCCGAAGCGGGGATGCAGTGTCCTGGGCGGCCCCCGCTGAGGCAGGCAGGGAATAGAAGGGTCGTGCGCCTGGTAGGCGCGGCCGAGCAGCCTGGTGGGCTAGGCTGGAGCGGTGCAAGGCGAGACGGGTGGGGTGTACCCCAGAAAAGGCTCTAGGGATTGATAAGTGGGACTTAAGCTCTTGGGCCCGATGGGCCAGGCCGTCTCACCGGATGCTTGGGGGAGGGGAGTTGGCGGTGGTGCGCCCTTTCCAGGCCCTCCCAGAATTCCAAACACACCCTTATGCTCTTGCGGTGCATTTTAGAGCAGGACCTGGACCTAGCGCATCTAGGTCTCTGGTCCCCCACACGGTGCTGGCCCTCAAAGCTCGAGGCCCACATCCTCTGCAGGTGAATCCTCTTAGGCTTTCGGGTAACTTTGAGAAGAGGCTGTTCCGCACACCTCATACATTGTCGATTTCTCTGATTGACTCCTCTCTGCTCACCTCCAAGATCCACAGGGCACACTTTCTCATGGATGGAGGAAAGGGTTTGCCGCTTGCAATTTTGGAAGCTCCGGGTGTGTCGAAAACGTAACTAACGCCAAGATCTGATTACCGGAATAACCGAACATAAAGAATCACTTAAAATTCCATGCCTTACAACTGTGTAAATCACAAGATTGTTACAAAGTTTCGTGTGTGTGTGTGTGTGTGTGTGTTACAAGAAGTCACTCTTGGGCGTCATTCCTCAGTCAATATCCGCTTGTTGGAGACAGAGTCTCGTACCGGAGTAGCCAAGTTCGCTGGACTGATGGCTATCAAGTCCCTACAAGCCCCCGTGGGTCCACCTGTCTCTTTCCTCCCCAGCACTGTAATTACAGGGACGTATCTACCGTATGTAGCTTTTTTACATGGGTTCTGGGGATCGAACTCAGGTTCCTATGTTTGCACCACAAGCACTTTACAGACTGACCCATCTCCTCAGACCCCTGTTGCAGGACTTTTTGGAGTCACAGTCAGCTGAGGTGTTGAGGATGTCTGTTCTCCTTTCACCTTCCAGAGGCTAGGTATGTGTGTGGCTCCCGGCACTTCTTTTTACTTTTTTCAAATTTTATTTTATGTGTAAGGTGCTTTGCCTGCATGTATGTCTGTGCACCATGTATCTGCCTGGTGTCCTCAGAGGTCAGAGGAGGGTTTTGGATCCACTGGGACTTGGGGTCACAAATGGTTGTGAGCATCATGTGGGTGTAGGATTCAAACCTAGGCCTTCTGGGAAAACAGCCAGTGCTCTTAACTACTGAGCCATCCCTCAAGCCCCTCCTGGCGCTTCCTGTTCTATCTTCACCCAAGTCCTACCCTGTTCAACTTTGGACATGTCCCAAAGTGCACATCTAGGACTGAGGTGATCCAGACTTCAGGGCCCCACAACAGCCTCCTTCTAGCAGGAAACACTGCCCAGACTTTGAGACTTGTACTCAACAAGAGTGAGGTCTTATTCTTATGTTTAAGAGCTCCCCAGGTACAATTGCTTTGTTTATGAGCTCTTAGGATGTGAAGCTTCTAAACTGCTCCGGGACGAAGTTCGCTAGGAAACACACACAAAGAAAGCACTGTGTGCCCCAGATGGAAACACTGAAACTATGAGATGCCTCTGGACTTAGAACAGACACAGCACTTGGAATCTGGGGAGGTCTTATCGCGTCTTGCAAGCTATAAAATATAATCTGGCCTGGGAACCAAATGATGCTGTTTGTTACGTGTCAGAGGAAATAACACATCAGCCCTAGCTTGTAGGCAATGGAGGAAGCTACCTGTTTCTTTAAATGATCTTCAGGAGCTGGCTCAGAAAATGTGCCAAGTGGGGTTCACTTGCCATATGTGGGGTGGTAAGAAGAACCCTGTAACTGCCACTGTTACATATTGGGGTTCAGCAAGTGTGTCTGCTGGATTTTATTTGAACTTGAGAAATTCTTGTCTTGCCTTGGCAGACCACCTTTTGTCTCAGAACCTCTTTCTGTGCCTTCCTTCTAATGAATGAGGTCATTTCACCCTCCGCTGCCAGGCAGTCATCTGAGGAGCTGGAGAGAGCGAGCAGAAGCTTAACCTTTAACACCCCACAGCTTGACAACACCAGTTCTGAGCCAGAGAAGACAGATTAACAAGTCATCATAAAGCCAGTGAGGATCTCAGATGGCCCAGTCAGATTGCCAAGGTTGGAATTGATCAGAGACCTGGGTTCTTGATTATATGCAAATCTCCACACAGAATATCTAGACATTTTTAACTCAACCTTATAGAAATAATTTCCTGAAAACCCTTTGAGAATGGTCAGTTTTGCATTTCTTTTTTCCTAATAGTGCCAGGAGTGGAACCCAGGGCCTTGCTCATGCTAGGCAAATGCTCTACTGCTAAGCCATACCCTCGACCCTCACTGGAGGATTCTAGGCAGTTATTCAACCACTAAGCTATAACTTGGGTACAAATAGTCAGTTTTAGATCTGTCCAGGCATCAAGCATAAGGCTATCAGCCTCCAGCTCTGGGCTAGGCACACAAATACCTAGGAGGTCTTTGTTGAGCAAAAAAAGCAAATAGATATTGATTATTTTCTTAGCGCCATGTACTCTGAGGATATGTGTCCTTGGTGGAGAGGTAGAATGAGTTGGGCTGGACTCATCTTTTAATGCGTGTGCAGAAAGCAGAGGGTAAGCACTGAGATGAGAGCTGTAATAGAGGTATAGTCGATCATGCTCTAGGCAGAAAGGTGGGCTCAATCTCAAAAATCCATTTAGACTCATCAAGGGTGTTTGTTGATTGCATGCACATTTGGGAGCCCATCAAGGTCTTGGGATGCTCTTGGACTTTCCAATGCTCATCAAGAATGGAAGAAAGTAAATCGATAGGAAGAAATGACTCAGGAGAAGGTAAGGCAGGCTGGCCACCATTGTACTTTTTTCTTAGTGCAGTAAGTGCTGAGAAATCCACCTTCCCAACTCCTAGGTGGCTAGCCTCTCAGTGTCTAAGCAAAACACTTCCCCGGACTCAGGGAACCACTGTCTCCTCTTCTGGCTCTTGTTTCAGTTAAAGCAAGCAAACGTCTTGTTTATGTTGACATAGTTTGTAACATGCAATTGTTGGACTTGGGAGGTGGCTCAGTGGGTAAAATGTTTTTTGTGCAAACTTGAACACCTGAGTTATGATCCCTGGCACCTACACACACATGCACACGCACACATGTACAAAAGGTGGAAAGTGATTGGGGAAGACACTCGCAGCCAACCTCTGCCTTCCACATCTGCATACATGGGTATGCATATTCACATATGCATGCGCACACACAGCCATGCAACACACAGGTTCACTCAAAAAATGTAATTGCAAGTGGCAATGCTGATAAGATTTGTATTTATGTGTATGTATACAGGGTTACCCTTGGAGGCCAGAAGAGGCCCCCAGATCCCCTGGAAATGAAGTTAGAGGTGTGTGAGCAGCCTGATAGGGGTGCTGGGAACCAAACTCACATCCTCTGTAAGAGCAGCAAACAATCTCTGAGCCCTTCTCTAGTCTAGTCCATTAAACCTTGATCATCACCATCAAAACAAGCTGGTTGGTCTTCCCTTCAACTTCCTGTGCAGTTGCTCAGGGGCTCTCTGCCTCTGGGTGTGTGGTGTAGAATTCCACAAGGTTTATGACCAGAGAGATTCCTGCTGAGCACAGTCATTAGGGGTGAGCTCCCGTAGAATAGAGCTGAAGACTGTTGTATTCTTGAAAAGAATGACTGGAAATTTTCTGTATCCACTTCTTCAACTTGTCTGACTTGTTCCTGTTGTGGGGTTTTTCATGAGCTTTACTCATTGCCTGGAATGCTCTCTTGTCTCCTGCCCCAGATGCAGTTTCAGAGAGAGACTGTCCCTGGCCATTCACCCAGAAGTTGTATTTTAGGTCTTTCCTACCAGAGCATTTCATTTTAATTCTGATAATGATGATCTCAAATTGGGATAGGCTGGGTGACAGTATTCCCCAAAGAAGTCCTTGTTTGAATGCTTGGAACCTGTAAGTGTTACCTCCTATGACGAAAAGCACTCTGCCAAGGTGGCTAAGGAGTTGTGTGCTCTATGTGCTTGTCCATGTGGGTGTGTGCATGTGTGTGTTACAGAAGCACATGTATATATATGTTCTTGTGTGTAAGGCAAGAAGCTAGAGTCAGGTGTGTTTCCTCGATAGTTCTCCACTTTTATTTTTTGAGTCAAGGTCTCACCAAACCCAAAGTTCATCAATTTGCCTAGACTGGCTGGCCAATGACCTTCAAGAACCCGCTTTTCTTCTCCCCTACCCCCAGCACTGGGGTTACAGGTGCACACCAACATGCCTGACTTTTTTGCGTGGGTTATAGGGGCCCGAAGTTAGGTCCTCATGCATGTGTACATGCCTGTGTATGTGTTTGTTGCATGGGTATGCACACGCATACACTGGTCTGTGTATGTGGAGGCCAGAGGTTGACAAACAGTATCTTCCTTGATTGTTCTCTACCTTATTTTGTGAGACAGGTGCGAT